ATCTGAAGGATGGAATTTTTATCCAATATCCCCTTGACAGCTTAGTAGAAATAGCCCCCAAAAGTCAGCAGTAGATATACTCAATAGTGTGAGCGCTTTTTTTGCCGCTGACCGAGAAAGCACAGCTAGCGTGTCTTACCGCATGGCGCAAGCCCGGCCGGTGCCTACAGTAGACGGCCCCAATGTGGTCTTTGTGCGCGGTGACGTTGTTTTCGCCGTTGTGCGGTTTGTACCGGTTGCGATTTTTGTAAAAGTCTAATTTTACATCATTTTTAGCCGTTTCGGTGACACACCGAAACAGCTCTTGTTTTCGTGAACATTTTTTTTTTCTTTTTCTTTTTTTTTCTTCTCCTTTTTCAGACTTTTTCTTCATAGCTTTTACACACGTCTCTTTTACCAGTCCACTTTGGCATTTTTTAAAAATCCAATCAACTTTAGACTTAATACATACTTAGACCACCACCCATAGATTGTCCTAGAAGAAATTCGTGATTGTGACGTCATTAGGTGTCGGGTTACGTCACATTAAAGATGCATTTTCCCCCATATGTTTTGTACACGTTTTAAAACACTCCACTGTGGCACTTTCGTAAATCTGATCGATGTTACACTTGGCACACACTTTTACTACCACCTACAAATGGTTGCGGAAGAAATTTGTGATCGTGACGTCATCAGGTGTCACGTTACATCACATTAAAAGATGCAAATTTTCCCCATAGGTTTTGTACACGTTTTTCTTCAAACCATACACTTTGGCACTTTCATATGTTTGATTGACTTTAGACTTGGCACACACTAAGACCAGCAGCCGGAGATGGTCCCCGATGATGTGTTACAGATGCAAATTGAAGTAACGTTATCATGACGTCATCACATTTCATGTGACGTCACAATAAAAGGGCATTTTCTAAGGCCTATATCTACAGAACCATAGGTCTGATTGGATTGTTACTTGATATGTACCCATACCTGGATGTGTTACAGATGAAAATTCAAGTGATGGCATCATCAAATGTCATGTGACGTCCATCAAAGGGGCACTTTTCTATTAAAGGCCTATATCTATATATGCTCGATTTGGTTGTAACTTCATATGTTTGTATAATGTGCTGTTATAGATGACATTTGTAGTGACATCACTAATTGGTCATCACGTGCACAGAGTATTTCAAATATCCGAAACAGCTTATGTTTGTCCACAAACACATTTCTAGTCATTTCATTGTATTTAACTATATAAATATTATTCTACTATTGTATAAAATTTCAAGCGGGTGTTTTAGAGTAATTATTGTTACCACAGGGCCGTCTGGTTTATAAACCTTTGGTCGCATTATGCAATTTAATATTTTTTTTGTCAGCCATCATCCAATGAAGGAAGACTATTTACCATAGCGCGTACTAATAATTATATTGAAACTACACGGTTGCGTCAAGCACGGATCCTATACACCAGGATAAACGATTGTTCTGAGCTCTAGTACAAAATGCACTGAGCGGACTTGTCTAGACGCGTGATAACGAGCTTGTAATCGCGAATGTTCCCAGGTGTGCCATTGTGTTGGGTTTTCGCATAACATCTAAAACGGAAATATTCATAAAACTGTAAGCAAAACTTCTCCTTATTTAAGATATCATTGTTCCAAAATTATTTTAAAAAAATATATTTCAGGATATAATAGGTGGTATTGTTCAGTTTTTGTCGTCATATATGAAGTATTACCCGGGAAATACACGTCAAATTTCGAGGAGAACACTGTTTACCCAAATTTCCTTTTTAATTAGGCTTTCATTAAAACGTTTTAGAGAGATGTGATGCCAAACCAATGAAACAAAAGTGACATTTCATTGTTCTTCTTAAAGCTAAAGATATGTGCTCGGCATTACCATGGTTATGTAGTTATCACAATTCAATAATAAAGACCAAAACGTTGACTCATGAATATTCGAAAATATAATTCGCTGGCTTGACAGACTTTGACGCGCAGTGGTCTTTGTTGGAAAGTATTCATGGTATTTGCCACCAGTACGGGCCGTTATCACGCGTCTAACCAGGGGTTGGGCAAGTCGTTAATCCCTGTGTGCAGGATCCGTGCGTCAATGCTATCTTCCGCCTCGACTTACTGTACGGCTGTTTGCGGCAGTGTGTTTGGGGCGTTGCACGCGCAAGGGTCGTTGAGGCTAACGGTATAGTACAACTAGTGTGTAGTCTGGTTCCCTGACCTGACAATTTCCCCCGACGTCCATACGTCTAAATTGTAGATCAGGCAGCCTCCGTGGCTAAAAATAAACATGACACTGACGGCCCTTTTTCAAAACTCGGCTCCGTTTCCGAATTCGCTAAACAGCTTTTAATGTTCCGATCAAATTTTTGAAAATAAATCACTTCCTTCATAATCATACAGTTATGATATACAGTTTTATACTTCTGTAAGAAAAAATTTGAACTGAAATCTTCAAAGTTAGACACCCAAATAGTACTGTTAGCAGCCGGAGCCGAATTGAGACCAAGCCGAGTTTTGAAAAATGCCGGTATCGCTCGTCAAATTCAAAATAGTACGAAAAAGTTCGCCCTACGATCCGAGTACAATATCGTCGTTAAATTTCAAGATGTCCAAACCAAAAAAACAATGGATATTAATAATTAACTAGTTTTTTTAAGTTTTTGATAAGCAATTAGCAGTTAATAAAACCTATATTATACTCGGAAATACTCGGGCTTAATCCGATTGTCGACGAAATGAATTCGGCACACTTCGGACATTTTCGGAAAAAGGAGGAATTCCTCCCGTTTTTGTCACATGACGTAAATTGTAATACAATGTATTACTAGAGGCCACTGTAACCATACCTCAGATTTATCAGGAATAGTCAGAATCTTTTGGTCTGGGAACCAGACTTAACTAGTGTGTCGCGGCGTGCCCAGCGTGCGGTAGCGGGAACAAGCTCGTATGGGAACAAGCTGATTGCCTTGGTCAAGGCTAGGGAAACGCCTGATCCTCAGACTGTTTACTGTCCGTTTACGTCGGGGTGATATAAATCAATATAAGGTTTTGCCATTCTTACCTCGGTGAAGGGCGAACACTAGTGTCTGTTTAGATTACATGTTTGTTTTTTTTATTTTATGTCATTAACCAGATTTAGTCGGACGCGGTTTGGAGGGCCAGACCGAAAACAACGTCGGAAAAGTCAGCGATTGGTTTGACAAGACCCAAATCAATGAATTGGATGTTAAATTGCGCGTGGGTGACAGGCTTGAATTCAGAAGAGAGGGCCGGGTATACAGGCACTGGGGCATCTGCATCGGAAAACTGGGAGGTAACTTGCAGGTTCTTCACTTTACCACCAGAGGAAGTTCGAGTGCATTTTCGGTGGGGAAAGTCTCCGGGTGTTCGGCGGAATACCAACCATTCTACAGTTTTGACTCAATCGACATACCAATCGGCGACGATCACGTGAGGATCAACAACAGCCGAGACGCTCAAGGTTCATGGCAGCCATTGAAAAGGCACGAAATCCTCGATGGTATCGCTCATCGACTTGCTAGACAAACTCTCCAAGGCTCAACGAAGTACAATGTTTTGCATAACAACTGCGAACATTTGGTCAACGACCTTCGGTACTACAGGCACCACTCTGATCAACTACATGAAGTACCAATATTGGGTAAGTGAGCGAAATTATCTTATCGGGAAATGAAACGTATTGCAGTAGATATAGGTGACCTACTGGGGCAAATGAGGGATGTCCCTAAAACCGTGTTTTGAGTAATCGACGCCTGAAGTCAAATACTAGAAAAATCAAGTTAAGATCGATATTGATTGTTTTGTATTTTGAGTAGCCAAGGTATCCAAGATTCACACTATGCACTTTGGTGTGTGTGAATTGCATGCCTTGTATATGTCACAGGCGTAAAAAGTATCCCCCCTTATTCTTTTTTTAGATTCACCCGCAAACCTTTATTCTGATTAATAATAATAATAATAATAAACCATTCTTATAAAGCGCATTTTACACGGGGTCCCAATGCGCTGAACAATTAACAGAGGAAAAAAAAAAAAATACTAACATTATATTTCATTTGCAGTGAACAGATGGGTTTTAAGATTAGCTTTGAAAACGTCCAGGGTTGGGGCTTCCTTGATGTGATTGGGTAGTTTGTTCCAGAGGGTTGGGGCTGCAGATGAAAACGCTCGCTGACCGTATGACCTTGTCGATGTTGAGGAGCAGGCGAGCAGGGATTGTGAGCTTGATCGAAGATTTCTACGGGGTTCATATTTCTGGATTAATTGCTGGAGGTAAGTAGGGGCGAGACGATGGAGACATTGGTATGTTAGGAGAAGGGTTTTGTAGATTATCCTCCTCTTGACTGGGAGCCAGTGCAGATTACGGAGAATAGGTGATATGGGTTGATGGGGCTTCGAGAGGGTGACTAGTCTTGCAGCTGAGTTTTGGATGCGTTGGAGTTTGGCGATTTGTGAGTCTGGTAGCCCTTGAAGTAAACTGTTGCAAAAATCTAGGCGACTAGTAATAAATGCATGAGCAAGCTTTTCTGTTGTGTGCGGGTCGAGGAATTTGCGGATCTGTCCGATTTTATGAAGGGCAAATGATGCAGACCGACAGATGCTATTGATGTGCGTGTCCATTTGTAGATTAGGTTGCATTGTAACACCCAGGTTTCGTACCTTAGAAACGGGCTGGAGGGAAGAGTTGCCGATATGAACAGGGGGGAGTTGAGTATGGCTTCTATGGCAGGATGTTATATGAAGGACCTCCGTTTTGTCTGCATTTAATTTCAGTTTATTTGCTGTGGACCATGATTTGATGTCGTTAAGGCAGAGTTCTAACTGGGGAATGGCTGTAGGTCGATCCCGCTCTTTCAAAATGATGTAAACTTGAGTGTCGTCAGCATAGATCATTTGTCCGACACCGTGGGCCTCAATTATGTCCTCAAGGGGGGATGCGTACATTATGAAACACAAGGGTCCCAGCACAGATCATTGAGGGACACCGACTTCAGGGACATAAGCGTCAGATAGGTCATCATTAATTGAAATGTACTGAGTACGGTGTTTGAAGTAAGATTCGAACCAGTTGATAGCATGGCCGGATATGCCATACCTGTGACAAAGACGATGAAGCATGATCTCGTGGTTGATGGTGTCAAAGGCTGCGGAGTAGTCCAGTAGAACAAGAACCGCCTCTTGGCCCTTGTCAGCAGCTAGTAACAAGTCGTTGTTCACTCGGAGAAGAGCCGTCTCCACACTATGACGACGCTTGTATGCAGACTGCATGTTGCTGTGAAGACTGTTCTCGAGAAGATAATCTTGGACCTGAGACGAAGCTGCGCGTTCAGTTATCTTAGCGAGAAATTTCAAATTGGCGATAGGTCTGTAGTTTTTTAGTGGTTCCGGATCCATGTTGGGTTTCTTGAGCAGGGGGGTGACGTGGGCAGATTTGAAAGCATCAGGAAAATGGCCGTTCTCAAGGGAGAGATTGATGATTGTTGTGATGATGGGAGTGAGTTCATTTAGACACTTCTTCAGTAACGATGTTGGAATTGGATCAAGCCTGCATGTTGTTGAAGGTGACCCAGTGATCAACTTTCTGACAGAACTATCAGAAAGGATGTCAAATCCAGTGAAAGATGTCTCGCACGAGTCGGCCACTGGTACTGTTGTCTCAACTGTTGAAGCGTTATCAAGTTCGGCAATGATGGTCTGGGTCTTATTGGAAAAGAATTGTGAGAAACGATCCACTAGTGACTCTGGTTCATTCTCTGGCGGAAGGGTTCTTGAAGATTTCGGGGTGCATAATTTGTCGACTTTGCGAAACAGTTGTTGAGAATCGCAGTCGGCAAGTTGTGTCCTGTGATATTCGGTTTTGGCTTGAGTTATCATACGATTGTACCGGTAGATCTGTTCATTCAGAAGTTGTTTGTGAACTGCCAGTTTAGAGGATTTCCACTTGCGTTCACGTTTACGTAGTTCTTGTTTTGCTTTGTGGATGTGTTCATTGTACCACGGGGCGTGTGGGCGACATGATATGTTACGAGAGATGAGGGGGGCGTGTTGATTTAGGAGATCTTTCAAAGTACTCTCGTACTGATGAACCAACTGGTTCAAATCAGAGGCTGGGGCAGTATACAGTGGTGAAGCCAGGATATCCTTGCGGAAGGCATCTATGTCAATCTTACGAATTTCTCGAAGTTTGATGTCTCTTTTGACCGGATCGGGCCGACTGACGTTCAGTAAACATTTGACAGCGGCATGATCGGAGGGCAGGTAATTAGTGGTGACAACACGTGAAACTGTGTCATCTGCTGAACGTGACAAGATGAGGTCCAGTGTGTGGCCCTCGCGGTGAGTGGGGCCAGTCACATGCTGCTCGAGATTAGCAGAGTCAATGAGATCACAGAAGATTGCCGCTTCACGATTAGATGGATCATCGACGTGGAAGTTAAAGTCACCAGCAACCACGATGTGTCCTGGCTCAGACACAACAGATTCCAGGAGTGTGGAGAATTCACGAAAAAATATAGGGGAAGTCATGCGTCCATCGATTAGTCTCTGAGGTCTATAGATTACGATGAGCCGAAGGGGGGTCTGGGATCGAGCGTTAATTGATAAATCAATATGTTCAAATGAATCAAATGTTCTACCTTCGTTCATATGGGCATTGAAGCTGCTTCGAAGATACACACAGACGCCACCACCATTTCTGTTTTTCCGAGGTATGTGGTGAATTTGGTAGTCAGGAAGTGTTGCCATAAGATCTGCAATAGCACGATGATCCCGATGATCACCAGTCAGCCATGTTTCAGTTATGGCGATAATATCGATGTGGTTGGATATAATTAAATCACATAAGATAGGGATCTTGGGTTTCATCGATCGAGCATTCCACAGACCGAATGTAGTGGGAACAAGTTGTTTTGTGGGTGGTAAGCATGGTGAAATGTTGGTGAGGTTGGTGGGATTTGCACCTTTTTGTCCCGCTTGAAAATCAGGGTGAATCTCGTAGGGTATGTCTTGGTGGCTCAGTACAGGGATGGGTTTCTGTTGTTTAGCCCATGATCTGCGGCCCCTTTTGGTTGGTCTTGGCACACCGATTCCAAGCTCTTTTAGTCTGGTGTGAACGTGAAGGGGCACAGTGGTTTTACCTGTAGGTTTGAGCGACAGCAACTCATCATGGCTGTAGGAGTTTGTTGTAGTGGCAACCATGACTACTGCTGACAATAGGATGAGCACAATGGCCAACAATGCCGATCCAGCCATGCGTCAATCAATTTCTGAAGCACAATGACGAGCCAAAAACACACTGCTGAATGCTATAGGCGTACGTAGTCCTTGTACAGTACTTGTACTCGGAGTAATGAGCAGAATCTGTTCAAAATTCCAGGTTTTTGGCGATCTGGTAACTTGGATTTCCGATCCAGGAGCTAGGAGGATCCTTACGTCTGTGTGATCCGACTGTGTGGTTTTTGAAGTTGATGTCTGTGATCAAAAGGCAAAAACCGAGACAATTTTGCCAGGAAATGAGCATGTAGGTGCAACCGGAAGCGCTACCATGTTTGTTGATTCAAAGCATCGTCTTGAATATTCATTTTCATTGACCAATCACTTTCGCCGTTACCACAATAGAGATTCGGAATACGGGGCGCGGCCCGCGTTAGCGCCATTCCAAGGCTAACCGGAGCCGAGGGAACACCTTGTCCTAAACTGAGCTTCCCTTTCCCGTATTTTCATCTTTCAGTGTGAGAATAAATCACCACGTCAGAACTGAGAAGCCGAGTCCTCTTCCCCTTTATTACTGACTCTAATAATACCAAGGGTCACATATATCATGTCTGTTTGTTAGGTTCTCTCTTTTTAATTTAATTGTAACTGAAAGGAATTTAATGTAATTTAAAATGTGATGTGTGTAATGTTTATACATGAAATACATGTCTGTTTGTTGTTTAGTTGTTTGTTGGGTTTGTTTTCTCGCTTGATGTTGAGATTTTTTCGGGGGGCATCTAAATGGCTTGTGTGAAACTTTTAACTTGTTTTTTTTTTTTGGGGGGGGGGGTTGAAAATCATCTGTTGTTTGGAATGTAAATGTTCACCTTTGGTGTGTGAATGTTATGCCTTGTATCATGTCTGTTTGTTTGTTTCTCCTTTTTTAATTTAACTGTAACTGTAACGAAATAAACTTTTAGCTTTAATTTGTAAATATTGTAATTGTCAGCATTTATGCTGTTGTGTACAATATATTTTGTTTCTAATAATAAACCAGAATAATAATAAAAACGCAAATGTAACGCACAGGCAGACTATACTCCTCATTTGCAAACGTGTTCAAAAATCTTGAACATGCAAATGATCCAGTACCAGGGTGAGAGAGCAGGAAGTGATAGGCGCGTTCTGCTCGACATCCTGCGGACGAGGCTGCCCTAAAAGATATAACGAAAGAATGACACCTTAATATTTTTTTTGGGGGGGGGGGGGAGGGGGCGGGATACCTAATTTGCAAAAATTATTAATAGATCTGCGGCGTGATTATATATATTTCCAATATTTTGGTGCACTTATTTATTAAGACCACTATGAGACTCTACAAGGCTCACTTTAAAAACATTTTCCAAAGCAAATAAGGTGACTGCATAATTACGAGTGTATAATGAGAGGTCCTAAAGAGTGACCATTATACTGTAAAGTTGAGCGCATTTACCTTTTCCCGGTGTCACGGTCTCACTTCTCCGGCGTGCTAGCTTCTCCGGGTTGATTCGGCGGATAATTGAGCACGTAACAGTGCACGTTACTTGAGCACAATTCATGCTCATGTGTCCGCTGTGCTTACTTTTCCTCGGGCTGTTTTCTGAAGTCTACCAAGCCCATTAATAACACAGTGAGGGATCCTCAAGAATGTGTTATGTAACACTTCCTGTGGGTCAAGTCATTCCATGGTCTTGCAAGCATTCTGATTTATGTTCCCAGCGTCATGCATGTGTGTGTTCATGGAGGAATAATTAAGAACGAACTCCTTGGTCCGTGTTCCTTGCTCGTTCGTGGTCCATTTTGTACTTATTTTTGCAACCACGGCTTAAAATAAATGTGCATTTTCAAGTCTTTATAGTGTGCGCCACGAAAATTCTGGGCATACAAATATCTTAAGATCTTACGTACACAAGTACAGCCCCGAAGAACTCAGCACACTATTAAATACAGTGACGAAACTGTACACTACTGCGCAATTTTGTGCATGCGTGTTGAAGCGAAATTTCCCTTTTGGAGAAGCTGGCACGCCGGAGAAGTGAGACCGTGACACCGGCCCCAGACTACATCAAGACTTGCCATGCCTCCGTACCGATGAGCTTCAAATTCACACGGATTTTTTTTTTTCGTTCGGGAAATTAGGGCTCAACAGCAACATTACCTATTATCAAATTAGGTTTTGCCCTTCACTGACGTTTTTTGATTTATATCACCCCGACGCAAAAATTCCATCTTATAATTATCTATTATAAGATGGATTTTTTTTTGCGCCAGGGAAATACAAATCAAATTTGGTTGTGCCCTTCATCGACATTCAATCACTGTATACTCAGTGTGTCACCTCCCGAGTGAAAGTTGGAATCACTCGGGTGGGACTCGAACCCACGACATCCTGCTTTTAGTGCAGATGTCTTACCACTCGACCACCGAGCTAACGCAAAAAAAGTGCAGATGTCTTACTACTCGACCACCGAGCTTACGGCCAAAAATTTCATAAGATGGATTTTTTTTTATTTGTATCACCCTGGCGCACAAACAAAATCCATCTTATAATAGTTATGCGGTACCCGCTGCTATGTAGATCAGATTCGAACAAGCCAACCGATCCCTTTAGCTCGGTGGTCGAGTGGAGACATCTGCACTAGAAAGCAGGAGGTCGTGGTTTCGAGTCCCACCCGAGTGATTTTTTTCCAACTTTCACTCGGGAGGTAACACACTGAGTATACAATGGTTGAACGTCGGTGAAGGGCAAAACCTAATTTAATTAGCAAAATTATCGCTCAACAGGAATATGGTCTCCATTTGACGGAATAAGACAGTTTTCTGTTTGCGTTTGTATTTCAGGGCCCTTTAAGAGGATATGCCAAGCCTATCAGTCGAAGCAAAAGAAGAAAATGGACTTAGTCGGGCCGCAGCCGGAGGGGCCACAGGGGCAGTGGCCACAGGGAGAGGGGCCACAGAGGGAGGGGCCACAGGTAGAGGGGCAACAAGAGGGGACCACAGGGAGAGGGGCCACAGATAGAGGGGCCACAGATAGAGGGACCATAGGTGGGGGAGGGGCCACAGGGGAAGAGGCCAGAGGGAGAGTGGCCACAGAGGGAGGGGCAACATGTGGAGGTGCCATAGGGGGAGGGGCCACAGGGGAAGGGGCCACAGGGAGAGGGACTACAGAGGGAGGGGCAACAGGTGGAGAGGCCACAGAGGGAGGGGCCACAAGAAAGAGGTCGTGGAGCAAGTATCTGTCGAAGCAAAAGAAGGTAAAGAAGTCAGTCCAGCCGCAGCCAAATTCCAAGTTTTACATGCATCTTCCAAAGGAGGATATTACAGCGGCGAGCACTTCTGGGCAACGGGGGAAGGGTCCACAGGAAAAGGGGCCACAGAGGGAGGGGCCACAGGTAGAGGGGCAACAGGGAGGAACCACAGGGAGAGGGGCCACAGGGGGAGGGGCCACAGATAGAGGGGCCACAGGGAGAGGGACCATAGGTGGGAAAGGGGCCACAGGGGAAGAGGCCAGAGGGAGAGTGGCCACAGAGGGAGGGGCAACATGTGGAGGTGCCATAGGAGGAGGGGCCACAGGGGAAGGGGCCACAGGGAGACGGACTACAGAGGAAGGGGCAATAGGTGAAGGGGCCACAGAGGGAGGGGCAACAGGAAAGAGGTCGTGGAGCAAGTATCTGTCGAAGCAAAAGAAGGTAAAGAAGTCGGTCCAGGCGCAGCCAAATTCCAAGTTTTACATGGATCTTCCAAAGGAGGATATTACAGCGGCGAGCACTTCTGGGCAAAAGGGGAAGGGTCAACAGGGGAAGGGGCCACAGGTTGAGTCGCCACATGAAGAGGGGCCACAGGGAGAGGGGCCACAGAGGGAGAGGCAACAGGTGGAGGGGCCTCAGGTAGAGGGGCCGCAGGAAGGGGCCACAGGGGGAGGTGCCACAAGGAAGAGGAGGTGGAAACCCTATGCGTCAAGGCAAAAGAAGGTAAATGAGTTAGTCCGGTCACAGCCAAATGCCATTTTTTACAATGAACTTCCAAAGGAGGATATTGCAACAGCTATCACTTCCGGGCTGCAGGGGGAGGTGTCACAGGGGAAAGGGCAAAAGGGAGAGAGGCAACATGCAAAGGAGCCACAGGGAGAGGGGCTAAGGGGAGAGGGGCCACAGAGGGAGGGGACTCCAGGGAGAAGTGCCAAAGGGAGAGGGGCCACATATGGAGCGGGAACGGGGAGAGGGGACACAGGGAGTGGGGCGACAGAGGGAGGGGTCCCAGAGAGAGGGGCCACAGGGGCAGGGGCTACAGGGAAAGGGACCACAGGGCAAGTGGACTACAGGGAAAGGGGACTCAAGCTGCGCCCAATACCACCAGTCATTCAAAAGGAGGATATTGTACCGGCGAGCACTTCTGGGCCAGAGGGGGAGGGGTCACAGGGAGAGGGACAACAGGAAAAGGGGTCGCAGGGAGAGGGGCAACAGGGAGAGGGGCTACAGAGAGAGGGGTCACAGGGAGAGGGGCCACAGGGAGAGGGGCTACAGGGAGAGGTGTCACAGGGAGAGGGGCCACATGGAGAGGGGTCGCAGGGAGAGGGGCAACAGGGGGAGGGGTCACAGAGAGAGGGGTCACAGGGAGAGGGGCCACAGGGAGAGGGGTCACAGGGAGACGGGCCACAGGGAGAGGGGCACAGGGAGAGGGGCCACAGGAAGAGCTAGGGTTCACTGCGAGAGGGGCCACAGGGAGAGAGAGCACTGGGAGAGGGGCCACAGGGAGAGAAGCCACAGGGAGAGGGGCCACAGGGAGAGCAGCTACAGGGAGGGGGCCAAAGGGAGGGGGGCCACAGGGAGAGGGGACTCCAGAGGATGGTACAACAGGGAGGGGAGCCCCAGGGCGGGGGGACTACAGGGTGAGGAGACTCCTACCGCAGCCAATACCATCACTCATTATTCATGATGACAATAACACCAGATGTAGGCATTATACATTCTAAAAAAAAAATTGTCAGATTTGACTTAGAAACCAGTTGAGTTGACTAGCCTGTGTGGGTCAGCTGGGTGCAACTGAACATCAGTCAATCGGACTAGATATCTCCAGTCAGTATTAATGACTTTGAAAATTAGTAATGCAAATAACTGAAATTGGATTAGAATCAAACTACTTTTTCTAGTCATAGTATTAAACTCTGCATGTTTAACTAAATTCCGAGTCAATTTTCAATAACCAGTTAATATTTTCACTAAGTTGTTTTTGGAGTGTAAGTAGTAAAATTAACGTGCAAGGAAGAACAAGTCATAAATTAAATTTAGATTAACCTGTTTTGGGATGAGTACACAGAAATGTCAGCATAGGGGGTCAGGAAAAGCAATGTATAACAATGTATAACAATCCACAGGCCGCCCAGGCACTTTGCCAAATCCCCTCACGCACCCGCCAGACCACAAGCATCCCGAAATAGAACCCAATTTCCGGTGTGCGCCCAGCACAAAACAAACAGGTCAGGGCACTCCGCCGGAGGCCCTCCGCCGGCGGCCCTCAGCACCGCCAGCGGCTGACAACAGATTAACATGGCAATAAGATGCTATACAACTTTCCTTTACAGTACAAAGACCTGTGACTTATTACAAGAGTACAATTAACAACAAAATACATTGAAAAACAACAGAAGATCAGACCATAACAAAGAATTGAGCTATACAATGTTTGACATTTAAAGCTTGATTTTGAGTTTCTTTGTGAATGCATTTATTTAGTTGATAACCTAAACACTTTATAACAAGACTCCTATTATTTTCAACTGTGTGTCTTTCTGTGATGAAAAAAAACTCCTACAAGATGACACGGCAGGCACGTTCGCGGGGGGGGGGGGGTTAGTTCGGTGACGAATTCGCTCAGAAATTAATATTGCTAAAAACATTCAACTGTTGATGATCCCCCTCCCTTTGGCTGGTAAAGTTTTGTTCAAAAATCAGGGGAAATCGGTCAGGAAATGCCGCAGATTGCACCACAGTGCATGTAGAATCCCAAAATTGTTGGGACCCTTCAGCGGGCCCCGAACCTCAACCGAAAGGGCTTTTGGAACCATGCTCCGCGCTCGCGATTTGAAATATTCTTGTATGTATGAATTAAATATATATAGGGATTCGGCTATAAAGTATCAGCCACAAAATGACCATATTGATAACTTGTTCGCATAAAAAGAGAAAAGGTGTTACTAAAATGAAGCATGTTTAAAATATGGCTTATTCGGAAAATTAGAGATATTTAAAAACTCAATTAAATAATTACTAATTTTTAATTATAAGACTGTCAGAACTTGCTTTAATCATGTACAAAACAATAACCTCTCAAATCACTGTGTATTAGACATTCAAATTGGAAAGCGTTTCACAGTGTCCTGGCCGAATATGATCTTTAAATTGTCTTTGGAGATAAATCATATTTGGGCTTCTATACTTTCAGAGTGGTGTCTATCTGATATTTTTTTTCTCAAATCGGATGATTTTGCTATGACTCTAGATGTAATCTTAGTTTAGTGTGTTGCTTAATACAGGGTGAGTAAAAAAAAAAGCGGAACCAAAACCCCGAAAATTATATTTCATATTTAAAAAAATATGTAGCACAAAACATAATAATGACTGGAAGGCCGATTTCATAAGCAAACTTTGGATGGAAAAATTACTAGAATTGGTAAATCCGTTTGAAAAATATCACCATTTAAACACAATGACCCTAAAACCTGTCTCGTCAAAAAAATGCGATTTCAACAATCGTCGTCACAATTGACTTCAAACATCGCCAGCGATGAAATCTTAGTTTAAACGTTAACAATATGCAACGAAGTCATTTTGAAGGCCCGTCTTTTAAAAAAGAGGATTTTATAAATCATATTGTTAGCCTAACCAGGGTTGTTAATCAAAATATTGTGTACTTCAGTTGGTGACAGTTGTTGAAACAAGACAAAGTATACTGTGTCATTTTCTTTGTTGTTCCAAACAGTCAAAACACACAATAAATTGATTTTTTTGGACGAGACGGGTTTTAGGGTCATTGCGTTTAAATGGTGGTATTCTTTGAACGGATTGAGCAATTTCAGTAAATTTTTTCATCTAAAAGTAGCTATTAAATTGGCTTTCTAGTCATTATTATTATTGGTGCTACATATTTTTCTAAATATGAAATATTGGGATCCGCTTTTTTTTACTCACCCTGTATTTGCTGTGATATTTGCTGATGGTGCAGTTTAATGATTTATAACTGCAGTGGGTTTGTATTGTGTGTTTATTTTATTGATGACCTAAAATTGTATTGTAAACTTTGTGCCTTCGTGTGATGAAAATATGAGAAGGTGACACGGCAGGCACGTTTGTTCAGGGGGGGGGGGGGGTCGGTGACAGTTCCGCGCAGAAACTAACATCGCCATCAACAATCCACTGTTGATGACACTTCTCCCTTCGGCTGGTAAAGTTTTGCTCAAAAAATCAGGGAAAAGTGTTCAGGAAATGCCTCAGATTACATCACAGAACATCTAGAATCTGAACATTTTCGGGGCCCTTCATCGTGCCGCGGACCTCAACCAAAAGGGTTTCGCGCTCCATGCTCCGCGATCGGGATTTGAGGACCCCTCCCCCCCTTTGGTTTCAGGGACAGGGCCTGAAAGGTAGATTAAACCATAATGTGCATGTGCACAGAGTCAGTACATGAACTTGCGTAATTTTGAATCTTGATTTTATTTGGACGAATTCCCGAGCCTAAAACGCACAATCAAATATAATGTGAGACTGAAGGACATTTCTGTTTGTAATATTTGTGCACGTTTAATTTTTCATTTTTATTTCCTTATTCTGCACATTTCGTTTCTTTTAGTTATAGTAATACAAGTTCTTTGGACAGTGCTTTATGAATACAACATGCATGCTGCTATACTCGGATGTATTTGGAAGGAATAGAATAGAAAGACAAGACACTACTCAGCTGTTTAAAGACTATGAACAAATTAATACAACATTAACATGATACGATAGCTACGATGGGCACCAATCTCAGAGAAATATTCTTTATGTATGAATTAAATAACACAATTCATCATAGACGGTATATTTGGCTAAGAGTAGACTTTCAGTTAAAAGTAGACTTTAACCGTTGAACTATACGTTGAGAGAACTTCTTGAAAATAAAAGGTCAATTACGCATTTGCTAAATTATTAATTTTCTTTGGATTACTCGTTTTTTTATTCGAAATTAATTTCCTATTGTGGGTTTTTCCCTTTGGTTTCATAGATTCAGCAGCCAAATCGATGATGATTCACCCATTTTCGCACGAATTTGAAATGAGTTCATGTTTCTTAATTCTTCGTCAGAATTCAAGAAAGTATCTTTGGTCCAATTTGAAACATAAAAAAATGTTTCCCACAAGATTTGACCACAAATCAGCAGCACAAAATAACCTTATAAGTCACTTTTTTGCATAAAAAGAAAGCAGATGTTACTGAAACGCAGCATGTTAAAGATGTAGCTAATTGATAAAAATTAAAGATATGTGAAAATCCAGATCGCAATTTAAAACTAGAAGAAAAAGATGCAAAAGGTAACCCATAAGACGATAAAAAAGAGGGCAAATGATCCCCGAAGTTTATTAGTTTATAAGTTACATTTTAAGTTTATTGTTTATGTCGACTCTCATGTATCATGTATAACTTTCTCTTATCCGTAGTTTATATTTTACCTCTTCATATTAAAGACATGCACATGACAGATACTTTGAACATTAAGAAGCCAAAGTGAAGGGACAAAGATCATGTGGAAAAAAAATTACAAAAAAAACTCGTATCTTGCCCTTGTTTCCCATTAGTTTGTATGCAGAGAGTACTAAAAGGAATTCACAGTGGTGAAAACGAAAATAGAACGTTATCCAAAAATAACCCAAACCTAATTGACATAGCTTCAACTTAGTATGGGTTAAGCACGAAAACATCAGGCCTGAAAACCGAATCGAACGTCTGAATTTCTGAAAAACTAATCCGAACCAGAGGAATGACAACAGGGAGCTAATTAGCAGCAAATCGGCCACTATCAAGATGAATTTGAACGCTATGCGAAATTTGCCAGAAAGCAAATATTATCAACAAATCTCACGTCCCTTTGTAGCAATATACTTATCATGTTCAAGAAAATATTACCTCTCAAATCACTTTGTACTTATAGACAACATTCAAATAAATGGGCATTTACCACACATTTTGTTTCAAATATTTGTAAAAAAAATTACCCATATGGTATTATCATTATCTTTAAATTGTCACTGAAGGTTATCCACATTTTGGCTTTTACTTTCAGAGTTATGTCTGTCTTTAATTTGTATTACATTTTCATTCATTTTCAAATTCAGTGAACATTTCTTTTTGATTCTCAATGTAACCTTTTTCATGTATGGCTTCATTGTAAATATTTGTTTAGCTGCATTTAATCCTTTTAATGTTTTGGATGAATACAAAAATTATCCACATTTTTTGGGGTTTCTGATTTCAGGGTTCCGTCTATTTGTATTTAGTATTAAATGTCAATGCATTTTAAATTTGGTGAACATTTCTTAACGATTCGCAATGTATTTTTTTTCATGTAATTGCTTAATTGTAAAATTGTTTTACTGCATGTAATCACTTTTGCTTGCTTGGGTTTAATAAACCAATGCAAATTTATATTCATTTGCTTAGTCTTT